TGGCTGAATTCTACCTCGTCCACAAAGCTAAAATCTGTATACGACTGACTGTAAGTTACTATACAACCCTGTTTCAGCACACTTCCCCTTCTCGCTCTCCTCCCACCTCAGCCTAAACTTCCTCGTCAGTCTATTTATCGCGAGCTGGCAGCGTCAGAGATAAGCAGCAAACAAAACCGTCATTCCTCGTGTGTAACATCTGCTCCCTCTCTTGCTCCGCTTTACCTTTGATTTCGTTGGCAGCGTCTTGGGAACGCCGGGCGGATGTGACACGCTACGAGGCTTCTCCAAAAGTGCTGTTGAATTAAAAATACGACGTACAGCGCGACTAGCAGACAGGGACCATTGTGGAGGTACAAAGATGTGACATGGCCCTCTCTTTAGGAAACACGAACGCTCACCTGACATGTATTTACAGATGGCTACGGCTTTGTTAAGAGCGGCAGGGAAAGTGGGCCGCTGTCGGATGGGCGCGGGGAGGAGAGGCTGTTCAAATGATAACAAAGGAGGTTATTTCTTATTGAAGCCGGAGGGGAGCGCGTCTAAACGGGTCAGAGTTGGTGTCAAATTGAGAGCAGCGGCCTTGAAGCGTGGTTTATGGGGCGGGTGAAGCCGGGACACGGCGCCGCATACAAATGAACGCAGGATCACGGAGTAGATTTGCAGAATTCAAATGACACTTTAGATAGAGGATTTGTCATTACTTGAGGAAAATTTGCGACAGATACGGCGCTGATAGTGACAAAGGTTCAAGTGGTGTGAGGTTTCAGAGAGAGAATGTTGCCCCAGGTTTGATACCAGTTCCAACCGATGCATGTTGTTGCGTCTTTTCTATGAATGTAAATGAATGTGTGATGGTGATGTGTGCGTCTGGAGATTTCGAAGCTGTATATTACGGCACAGAAGCTGAGGGGGTAGCGCTCAGGCCTCACAGCAAGAAGGTCCCAGTTCTCCTTGTGTGGTAGAAGTTAGATCCCAGGCGCTCAGGCTTCCCCCACCAGAAAACATGCACTACAGAAAAACCCTACAGCAAAGGCAATCCTGACCACCCAAGCATCAACATCTGGAGATGGGTCCCCAGGCGCTGTAGTCCTGACAGGTTTCCCTAGCGGCATAGAAGGATGGGTCAAACACAGAGGACAAAATCCATACAATATACCTCAGCCTTAAACGTATTATTCTTGCTTGGTGGCTTCAAAAAGTATCTAATTAGTTTACATACAGCAAGGTATCTATCAACCATCAAGGAATATACCCAAATGCTAATTCAATGTTGACCAAACTAATCATTGGTAAGACTTAAGTTGGACAATTTTTTATTTTTTTACTGTCAATACTAGAAATGTATTGACACAAAGACGATTCAAAATAAAACATGCAAACATAGATATACATTAACATTTCTGGTTGGTTAGTTTGCATGAGTAGGCTGCGGATCTTGAACCGCAAGGGGTTTCAGCAAAAGTGTGATGAATATTTTGGCAATCCCCCAAAAATAATTCATTCATTTTTGTCGATATCATCAGCCCCTGAAGTAGAATATTTTTTGCAACTGCGGTAGCATTCTAAAGCAGTGTCCAGTCTTATCTCAACTTTGACACACACTGGAACACATACAGAAACTGAAGGACTGAGACTTCAGTTTGAGACCAAGAAAACTAGACACGAACAGCAGTGGATGGAAGAGCAGAGTCACTAAGACCAAGACCAGGACCAAGACCAGATCTGACCATAGCGAATGAATGGAAAAACTGCCATGATTTTTCTGATGGAACAGTACATTTCTCGTCATTTCAAATTTAAGCACCATAACCAAACCATTTCCCAACACAAAGTAAGACTGTCTGCAGCAGTTCCAGTTCATTTTGCTTGTGTCGGTCATAACAGCTGTGGTGAGAGGCAGAGGGACCAGCAGCGATGCCAAGGCCCACACAGTCCCTCAGCGAAGGCCACTCAGTCACCAGTCGAGCCACACAAACAGCATCTCTGTCATGTTCAAGCAGCGAAACAGCGTGAGGACACTTTAGCACTGTGCATCCCCGCTCCTCCAAGGGCCTAATAATCACCCTCTCCTCCGCCTCCTCCTCCTCCTCCTCTGCTCCTCTCCGACTCAAACCAAACCACCAATTGGCCTCAAATCATCCACACGTAATCTCCCGGCCGCAGTGTTTCTAGGATCGTATGCTGACTACAAGAGTCAGAGGAGGGAACAAAGCAGAGGAGGAATACTTTGCATCGTGATCCAGTTTGTGTTTGTGCGAGAGGGAGAGAGAGGGTGAGAGAGAGAGAGAGAGAGACAGAGAGAGGTGGTTAGTGAGTGTGTACCAGGGGGGAGACACTGTTTGGGGTAATTGCAGTCAATAGACCGCATGCAAAGCAGGCAGGCTCAGAAGACGTGTGATTTCAGGCAATATGACAGCGCTGTGGACTGTAGGATCACATGTTCAGATGTATTTGCAGGAAGTCATGGAAACTACTGCAAGAACTGTTTTAGAGGTAATCCTGGGATAGTCTGATATGTGCTTGAGCTGCTGCAGACTATTTTCTAGTTTTGAATGGTGTCACATTGATTGTATTTCATTTTTTACAATAAAGTGCATGTTTGACCTTTGTAATATCATGTATTTGCTGGTGGTGAAATAATAATAAAATAAATAATAATAATAATGAATTTGTTTTATATAGTGCTTTTTTGGAAACTCCATGGTACTTCACATGTCATTAATCTTTCACTCCATACACAGGGGTGATAAACTACTACTGTAGCCATAACTGCCTTGGGGCACACTGACAGAAGCGAGGCAACCAGTATGTGCCATTTGCCCCTCCCGCCACCACCAACCATTCACACACACACCAGACTCATTCTAATGTGGGTAAAAAGTCTTGCCTGAGGACTCAACACAACTGTGGCACCTGGTGTTCCCAGAGGTCTCCCATCACAGTACAAACCAGGTCCTGCCCTGCTTCAGAGCTCTGACGGGATCTGGCGGGATCTTCGCATGCAAGAATTGTAAGATGAGGATTTAAAATACCCAATCAGGATGCTGTGTGGTTTTTTTCTCATTCTCTCTACAAATAATCTAAGACATAGTGGAAAGACACAGAAGAACAATATAAATTGAGTTTCTGACATAAAACCTCATGGTGCAATGTTCAGCCCATAAAACACACAATACATAGGTCACATCATATCAAAACATAGAAAGACAAGACTCTCATAAAGTCAAGCTATATTGCAATAATTGTTTATAGTTTTCCTGGTATTCCAAAGGCCATTTGCTGTGAGACAGGAGGTCGACATTGGGAGGTCCCAGTTTCCAGGAGAAACATTGATTCACCGAAAAACAGTCTCTCGGTTTAAGATAAAAAATGCTTCCTATAGTTTTGGCTGAGACTCCACCCACTCATTTATGAACACACTCCTAAATCACAACAGCAATCGCCTCGGAGGACTTTCCTAAGTTGTCATTTTGCCAACAGCAGATAATATTAAATAATAATAATAAAAATAATGCATTGGTTTTATATAGCGCTTTTTTGGACACTCCAAGACGCTTCACGTGTCATTATTCATTCACTCAACCAGTGTGTGCCATCGGCCCCCTCCGACCACCACCAACCATTCACACACACCAGACTCATTCTAGGCCTGCTGCCGCCCCACTGTGGCATCAGGTGTTCCCAGAGGTTAAGTGTCTTGCCAAGGACACAACGACAGCAGACATCAAGGGGAGTCGGTGGAGAAAGTCTTGTGGTAGGCTTGAACTCTAGACACCCCGAGAGGTCCATATTAGAGAGGAGGCTGTAGTTTAATTTGAGGAGAGCGCTAATAAACTCAGAGTGGTCACTACTTAGAACGTTTATTATGGGTTCAAAAAGAGGGAATACGTCGGGATCGCAGCCAATCCTTACAAATGGCACAGTTTAAGGTTAAAAATGAGCGATAACCTCCAACCTTTCGGTCACCATAAACTGAAAGTGTCAGTGATGTGTTCAGTGACCAGTCCTGTGTCCCACCCTCTCCTCACCCCCTCCTCACCCCCTCCTCACCCCCTCCTCACCCCCTCCTCACCCCGTTCTGTTCTGAATCTGCTCTGGCTCCTCTCCAGCGCTGCTCCCTCAGTCTCTCTGCTGTGATAAATGTTACTGACCTCCACTTCACAGACAGGGCACCACACACACACACACACACACACACATTAAAACACACACACTTGCTCGCTCGCACACACACACACACCCTTACAAGCATACACACACACTTATTGTAATTAATGGTAAATTGGTATCAAAAGTACTGAAAATTGAGCTTTACAAGCTAATATTTGTATGTTAGTTGTGATCTATGTCATTTAGCAGAAGATTCTATGCGTGAGCTGAGGAAAGTGCTCAAACAAGACACTCACAAAGAGCAACATGGATTTTAACTTTTGCAAACTTTGAGTGGTCCTTTCTATTTCACTGTTCCGTCGGAAAAAGCTGATAAAATTACAGCGTGAGACACAGGCCAATAATACACGTTAAAATATTATGACATTTTATTTAGCACTAACAATTCTTAATATACACAATTTGGGATTTCTTCCTATTGTGAAATGTATAATATCTTTGAAAACATGTGACCTAAGATCCAGCTTTTGTGGTTTGAAAGTTAGGTACCCCAGCTTTAACAATGCACATAAACTATAAGTGCACATATCAGGCTATAATTTCATCCATATCTCTGCTGGGGAATATATAGAACTTTTACAACTACATTGTAATTTTGCCTTGTTTTATTTTTTCAAGTAAAACCGTTTTTGGCTTAGCATTTAGCACGCCGCTCCGCATCATATTTCACCGTGTAGCCTTGCTCTCCTTCTAAACACTGACACTGGCCTCCCTGGGAATCACCCCCCTCCTCCATCTATCATCTTGTCCCAAAACACCTCTGCGCCAAAGCTGTGCTCCCGATGCACTCTCCCACTCTCCTCTCTTCAGCAGCTCTTTTGGACTTGTCACGCCGCCTGCACCTGCCGTCTCCGTGTGGGGTGAGGGCTCGCGGACTCGGCTGGGCGGCCCCGTGAAGGACAGGAGGATTCGCGGGACATCGGCCGGAGTTTATAGGACATTTGTGGGCTGCGGGACGCTTGGCTGGAGCGAGGGAGACGTCTTGGGTGTTTGGCAGGCATCATTGAACAAAACATGGTGGCGACAGAGGCCCGGCGCAGGTACCGAGGCGATGGCATCGACCTGTGACCGCAGGACTGAAGCCCCGCTAACGGCCTGTCAAGTCGAGAGTGCCGTGAAAAGGCAGGGACTGTTTTTTTTCTCCAAGGCACCTCTTGTCCAAAAGAATTCATACATATAATCATGTGGATGTATCTTTGCCCAATATATAAAGCACTTTGAACTTGACAGTGTAAATTTCGCTGCCAATACTGTCAACAGTTACACATCAGATCTAAAAGAGAAGGTACTTTTTCCCATATAGTGCCATTCTGTGACTTAAACAATGATGAGGCCTTGTGGTAATGTGGTGATGATAAAATAAATGTGTTGTGTTTATTACTCACCAACTGTATGTGGACAATTCCAAAGAAAATATAAAATAATCAGTCTTGCACCAGACAGCCTTAGTCCTGGATTCATAGCCTATCCCTCTGTGGGAGTGGCTCTCAATAAGTGCCTCCGCAAGGTTTTGAACACTTCTCCCACTGAATTCATGAGTTCTTTCCTGCTGATGGAGGATGGGGCTGAGTGCAGTGATGATCAGGGACATTTAAAGACATTTACAACATCCCATGGACCAAGGTGACCAGTATTACATGTCCTGTGTTTGAGCTGATCTTTTGATGAGGAATTGACATCTTTGTAAAGTCCTCCGAGACGACTGCTGTTGTGATATAGGGCTATACAAAAATATAATTGAACAAATAATAATTGAATTGAATATTAGTGCAACTGGAAAAAGAAAGACACATGGTATTATTCACACTCTTACTCACACTCTGTACACAGTGGTGGTATAATTCAATTCTATTGATTTGTGTATAGCACTACATCACAACAACTACACATAGGAGCCTTCGGCACTCACAGCTTAGGCCAATGGGTCACACAAAAGTTAAAACTTTTCCCAGGGGTCTCCCATCATAGTACTAACCAGGCCCTGCCCTGCTCAGTCTGACGAGCTGAGACTTTCACATTGGATACTCATAGAGCTATGTTTATCAAGCATTTTCTCACACGCAAGAGTGATCAGCAGCCCTGGATTATCAAGCACGTACAGTAGTGTCATCACTGTGAGTATTTGAACCCTGAAACCAACTTATTACTTCAATATTCTTGTACTAATGTGTTTATACAGATTTATATACAGATGTATACATAAGTATATATTTCTTTGCACTAGAGTATACAGGTTTATACCTTACAGTATATGTTTATACTTTTTTGTTCACTTTGTTTAGTTTGAGATTTTGTTTTATTGCACATGCATTAGCAAAATGAGACCATAATGCATTGTGATTGTATTGTGTGTGTTCTTTGATCTTACTGACTGTCTACTCAATTCATTTAAAGTTCTAGATCACACCTGTAGTTATCTCGGAGGACTTTACAAAACTCTTGAATTCGCCAACACAAATCAGAGGATCAAACAGTTCAAACACAAGAAAACACACAAGTATTGATCCATAAAGGGCAGATGACCAATGCCCATAAATGTTGATACATGTCCATGAATGTTGGGGAATGTTGAGTATCCTGGATCACCACCACTGTCCTTGTGCTTGACCCTCCTGCATTGGCAAGGAACAACTCTAAAACCCACATCTCAAGTACTATCTTTTTCACATGGCATTATTAATTCACTCCATACATGGTGGTAAACTACTACTGTAGCCAGAGCTGCCCTGGGGCACACAGACAGAAGCGAGGCGACCAGTATGTGCCGGCAGACCCTCTGACCACCACCAACCATTCACACACACACACACACGCTAATGTGGGTGAAATGTCTTGCCTAAGGACACAGCAATAGTTTAGCACCATACAGCCACCCAACTGTGACAGCTAGACCCAGAGGTCTCCCATCACAATACTAACCAGTCTGTACCATGCTTAGCTTCAGGAGTTTGTCGTAACGTGGTTTTCACATGCACGTTCACATTACACTTTTTGTTGATGACATCTAATTTAATCCTGTATCACTTCAATCTGATCTTACTTAAAAATCAATATCACATTTTCATTACCCACAATTACTTCCTCGGGCATTTCTCTCTGACCACTAAACAACAGTCGTAACCCCCGCCGCCCGTCACCACCGTCGCCACCGCCACCGCCGCCACTGCCGCCACCGCCTGCTGGAACCACGACGGATATTACAGCAGCTCATTGCGGCGTTAAACCCATAATGATTGCTGCGATGATGACAATAAAGACAGCATATTAGTGTACGAGGGCTGGCGGGGGAGAGAGGCCGGGAGAGAGGGGGGGAGAGAGCGAGAGAGCAAAACAAGTGGCGTGTGATTTTCTCCCGGTGGCTGAGATGTCGTGACAGCGCGCGGCGAGGCCACGGAGCGCGCGCCACTTGACTTGAGTCATTAACGCGCGGTGGCGGCTGCACGCGCGCTAAAGGCGGATATATTTAGAGATAATAACCAGCTGGTGAGCAGGGGCGCGCGCGGGGGGTATCTCCGCGGTGTCAAGTTGTGTCGAGGCCCCGGGGCATGATGGGAGATGAAGGCGCTGGTGTGATTAAAGCAGGAAGTGCGAGCGAGCAATGAGACAGGCAGTGTGTTCCGATGGGGCGGTTTTTACAATTGTTTTACGATGCGATACAGATGGACGGATGGAAGGTAAGACCAAATTAAGAAATCTCTTTTTGGTCCTCACTCTTCCTTAAAGCTAGTTTTACATAATCTAAACAAAAAAACACTAGAATGTTAACTATGTACTATAAGCCATCTACACTGCAAATAATTGATGAAAAGTAAGTCATAAATGGCTCTTTTTAGGCCAAAAATATTTTCATATAGGCCCAGTTTTGCAGATTTGCCATTGGGAAAACGCAACATTAACGTGTTTTTTAAAAAGAAAAAAAGAAATATATGTTGTTTGGAAAAAGCAAATAAAACAGTTCTTGAAAAAAGACAACATGGCTTAGTCTCATTGGCAAATCTTCATTTAAGACTGTCAAATATTTAATACATTGAAGCCATTATTATCACATCAAGGTTTTTGTTATTTTTTGCAGTGTATGTATTCCTAGCTCTCATAACATTATGGTTCCATTTCTAGTTTTTGCACTCCTTTATCAGGTATGTATCAGGTAAAAACAAGTTTGCAGTGTCATCCAGCCAACTTCAGCTAAGATTATATAGGCCTGCAGTACAGTCGTTGTAAAGCTCAGGATGTCTAGAATTCATGATGTTTTTGTATATAGTGAATTTTGTCCCACAAAATCCCCACAAACTAAAATATTTGGAACACTTAAAGCAGGGGTGTCCAAACATTTAATCCCGGGGTGTAGAGCAGTTTGTACGAACAGAAAACACATTTTGTACAAGTAACTTTTAATTAAGAAAAATCAGACCACATCAACAGGAGACATTTTGTAAGAGTGACTATTGATTCTTTGGGTGAGAGCTGATTGGAAACTCTCCCTTCCACTTTACTGTCTGATAAAAAACAGAAGTATATTCACAATGAGAGACACCACAATGAAAAGATACAACTTGTGTCTGGTTACATCAATAATACATGTTTAAACTAATATCTAGAATATATTTATTATATATTTAGTATATACGAGACCAATAAAATACTCACATCCTTTTATCTTTCCAAACTGAATATTGTTTATCTTTTGTTTTCTTATCCAAGAGGGTCTAAAACAGTAGTGATCATCCAGGACATTCGACATCATACACATTTATGGACATAGGACATCTGCGCCCAATGGACCAATGGCTCTATGGGATTTTATTGTTGCACTTCCTGTGTTAGACCAGTTTGATTCTTTGAGCTGTTGTTGGAAAACCTTCTGTGATTTAGGAATATACAAAAATAAATTGAATTGAATTGAATTGAATCATACAATCACGTTCACTTTCATCACCAACTTTGATTTCTATACAAATCAAATCAAGCACAGTCTATGAAACCAACTGGTACTTCACAACCCTGCCTTCTCTCCTGGGAAGTTGCGGTAATAGAAATGGCACAAATGACGGTTTCAGGTTCGGAGACGTGAATAAAAAGGGTAATTATTCCACGCAGCAGGACAACACTGTCTGTCAGCCGTAAACAAGGCTCAGAGCGACTCGGACACAAAATCAATCCACATCTGTTCATTTATCTCAGACAGGAGCCAAATTGAAAAATGGATTGGTCGAGGTTCCCCCAAATCTGAATCTTGATCAAGGACACCTGCTTAGAGCGAGATAATGGACTGGAGTTGGGACGAGCCGTGTGCACCAGCCAATGACAGAGGGATTCTGGCAAAAAACATGCTCTACGAAACAGGCGTGGACTCAGAGCGGAGATTTAAACGCAGAGAAGGACAATTAGGCAACAGAAACATTTGACATTTTCTCACAGACTGAACTGCTTTGTTGAAGACGATAATGGACCACAGCAGGTTGCCAAGTCATGGGAGAGAAAAAAAACAGGAAAAGACAAGAAATCTTGGTAATGCACTTATAGCTAGTTGTGAAATTACAAAGAATATACAGGACTTGGGGAAAAAAAAATGTTTGAGGTCGTAAATCTTCAACAACATTAGGCCTAGTGAATCTGAGGGAATCTGTATTGAGCTTTGAAAACGTATAAAAAAAAAAAAATTAAACAAATAATTATTGTGTTGACGTTATAATCATACAAAATCTGAAGTACTAAAACCCCTTAACAGAAAAGCCTATGTTTGTGACATCTTAGTCCTATATAAACCAAATGGGACTCTAAGGAGCACAGGGACTGGACTTCTGCTGGGACTCTGAGGAGCACAAGGACCGGCCTCCTGCTGGGACTCTGAGGAGCACAGGGACGGGCCTCCTGCTGGGACTCTGAGGAGCACAGGGACGGGCCTCCTGCTGGGACTCTCAGGAGCACAGGGACGGGCCTCCTGATGGTGCCAGAGTCAGGACTAAACATGGGGAGGGAGCTTCTACACAAACAATGTTCAAATACAGGTAAAAAACAGATATTTTTAGCTGTGTATAAAACTGAAGGATTCCATCTT